GTATTTTTATTTTTTGTTTTTTTGCATTTTTTTCGCACAAAAACAAATACATAACCTTTTTTTGTTCTAATTCTTATTTGTGGCTATACAAGCAATACAAATAAGGTATATATGTCCCATGCGCAAAAATGCTGTAGACCAGTGTAAAATCGACTTGATGGTACATTCTTAGGTGTTAACTTGAAATACTTTCGGCAGATCGACACAATATCTACAGCAGCTTCTTTTTTGGAATTGTAAACGATGAAGCTTCTGGGTTAGTAATTTTTTGTGTTTTGGAGATGGATAACCAAAATGTCATCTTTATCTTCTACATCGGCAACTGTTAAATTCGATAATTCATCTGTTCGACAGGCTCCGCTAACCCCGATTATTAATACAACCTATAATAATTTTGTGAGTAAATAAAATTTATACAATATCACATTTGTAAATACATTTAACATTAAGTACATTTCATCTGGAGCATTTTGTAGGAAGTTATTAATGTCCTTTGCATGCTGTAAATATATGTGATTTTTTAGCAACGTATCCAATTGATTGCTTTTTTAGAAAGGCGTTGACTTTTGCATACCTGCCGATGTACATTATTGCGCACTGATAGCGTTGCCTTTAACATCGAATAAATTGACCAGAGTGTTGATGACTGTATTTTTGTGAGAGTTCGGATAAGTACGTTCAAACCACACTCTCACTGTATCGTTTTGCATTTTTAGAATTGCACCACTTTATAAAAAAGGGTGTATTGGAAATTATATTTGTTTTTGGATTTTTCCGGCAGCAAGCTTGCTCAACTATTTCTTCCGGTGTGCACGGGAAGGAATCTAAATCAGCATTAGATGGGCCTGCTGCTGCTTCATCCATTATTAAATTGATTTTTTTATTATAATAATGAACTAAACCAAAAATTTCTATGGCGCTTTTAAATTTGAAATGACAATTATTGTCATATGATCAAACTGTAGCTGCGTATAGTTTTTGCTTAGGAAAGTCCATTGCGAATGAAAAGTGGGTTAGGTAGGCATAATCAACAGTTTTTACCTTGTATTAATAAATTATTTCTATAGGTATAGGGATGCGTTTTGATTTGTTCTCAAAATTTAAAGATAATATTGAGAAGATTTATTGAAAATTAAACGTTTTTGAGACGCTCCAGGCATTAATAAAGAGTCAGACTTTGATGTTTTATTAGTGCGCCATCTGTAGTGTCGAATAGGCATTTTTTTCTCGCCTAGCCGAGAAAAGACGATTTTTTCTCTTGATCTGTGCAATTGCCTGCTTTGGCGTGTCTTAGTAGGCGCGAAAATTATATACTTTCCTTTCATATAGGATAAAAAGAAAATTTTGTTGTGCATCCATACAATTTGTGCCAAAGAATCAAAAGCACAAGTATTAGCTGGACTAGGTTCTGTATTTTTTGTTTGATAGGAGGCCATTTTCTTCGTATGCTTCGAAAATTTCATTTTTACCTAGTAAAAACAAACACCTTGGAAACATACCAAATAGTGATATGCCAAAGAATGATGACGAGATTCACAAATTAAACTATTATCACTACAGTAAATACACGCTTTTTCAACAAACGTGAAAATTGACGTTTTAAGTTTACAGCTTTATTTCTATGAACTACTTACTATCGGATTGTTAATTTATCCTGTTATGAGATAACTAAGAATATAGAAACGGGCATAAGACGTGCTTAGCGCACTTCTATCTAAAGGAGTGGTTTGCTTTAATCATGAGATAATCTTCGTCTCGAGCTTCGTTAATAGATCGTTCAGTCTCCTCTATTTATAATATTCTAGAGTTATGGGGTACAATCCCAGAATTATTTTTTTTTTCAGAAAAGCTTCATGTAATTCGTGCTTAATATTTATTCAATGCAGATTTTAGCATTGAAAAAGTAGACCATAGTAGACGTACACGAGAACAGTTAAAAAACCTCTATAAAAATTTAAAACAAAAGTTAAGGAAAGATGTGGCGGAGATAAATGTACGTTGAACCTAATCAACTTAAGCAAATTTCAAGGTAATTTATGATATACTTTAGAAAGAAGACTTGAAAGCAAAGAAAGATCGGACTCATGATAAGGTACTGTATTTCTTGATATACAGGTACCACAGTAGTGCCATATACCTATTTTAACGTATATTACTTATTTTTAGAAAAAACTTGTAAGGACAGGGGGTGGCACATATGCTTCCCGATTAACGGAATCTGGGGCAAGATTGTTGGCGATATGTGAGGAGCAAATAACTCCACACCAAAACATTTATGATGACAATTCAACTCATGTATAAAAAATCACATAAGCCGCAGTGTAATTGTCACTTTGACAGCGGCAAAAGTTACCTGCAACTTTTCCAGCGACAAATGCACTAGTCGTTTTTTCACTTATTCATTTTCGAACCAATAATCGCATTATCCTTACCCATATGACTAGTTTGACGTCTGTCAATAATTGATTAGTTTGGTGAATTTCTTGTTCGTTAAATTGTCCTGCCGAATTCCACTCGAGGTTTGTATTTAAACCGAATAAATTTGGGTTGTGGCAATTCAAATCTGTTTCCTTTTAGCAATTGGACTCGAAAAACTGTCAACCTAAAAATGCTCCACCTGCGGTGTCGCATTTTTATTAGCTGACAGTTTTTCTCGTCTAATTGCTAGGCAACAGATTTTCATTACCTAAACAACCCAAATTTACTCGGTAAAATACAAACCTCTTGTGCAATTATAAGTGAATATTTCCCTCATATGTCATAAATGCCATATGAGGTGTGCAATTATCGCTCAATTACAGCGATAATTGCACTGTTCTACAGTAGAAAGCGAAAGAGCCCTGCGATAATTGCACTGTCCATATCCATGGCAACTGGCAACTTCTTTGGACACTTTCATAATATGCCGACAATTTATAAGTAGGTAACGTCAGTTTGACAAGTAATGCTTGTTCGGGAAATATTCCCCTAAATTACACTCGTGCATCAAAATAAACCTGATAATTTTTTATTCAAGCATGTTGTCAGTAAAAAACTGCATTCGGTCATGTTCATATTTTGTTAAAAGAGCCCTCCACCTTCGGTGTCGGGATCTTTCGCCAAAATATGAAAATAAACTCATGCAGTTTTTAGACAACATGCTTTCAAAAAAAATATCGGTAATTTTGATGTACTTGTGCAATTACTTACGATAATGCTCTCTATCACGGTATGATAATTTTCAAGGGCCCCTCCATACGAGACGTTTTGTAGTACGGTAGAGTAGCGCCGAACCAACGCAAGCAACGCGGGTTTATAGTCCAGCCATTCTATGCCAAAAAAAAAGACAAATAGAAAAAAATAATTCGTGTAGTTCTAATTTTTTCGGGAATGTGTGGTTGAAGGTCTCTGATGATTGTGTAGGTCATAAAGTCCCAAAAAATTTCCGAATATTTCCTAGAATGACTGGACTATACGGCAAAGCAAAGCAAAAACACAGTTCATAATTCGCTGCACAGTACCCTCAGCGCCAAATGAATGTCTTCCAGGGGCTCGCAGAAAAATCACATTGTAAATTAATTAATTTTGTCAGATAGAACCCAACAAGATGTGCTAGAAGTGATGGAAGATCTACTGGTGGAAGATGTAACAATAACAGAAAATGTGATGGCGAAAGAAATAGCTGAAGATGAGACAATGGCCGCAAATACGGTCGTAGCAGATAGGGCGTCAGGTTCAAATGTGTTGGTTCGTCGGTCTGGATTGAAAAAAACAGAAAAATAAAAAAGAATGTTGCGAATGCGGAAACCTTAAAGGTCGTGTATTTAAAAAAAAAATTAAACATGCAAATTTTTTGTTAAATGCAGCAAATTAAGAGAAAAGTAACGATACTGCTTAGTTTTGTAATTATTTTATGATAATTAAAATTTGAATTTCTATAATTCTTGAATTCTCCAGTCATACAGCAAACACCGTATTCACTAGTGCTGTTCTCACCGAAGAGTCATCAGCACCATCAACATCCGATTTGACGAATTAGAATAATTTTGATTTAATCAATGACAAATGTAAGATTGCAGGTTCATGCAACCCAAAACCAACGTAATCAGGGATTATAGGTAGTAGGTATAAACTTAGATTAGAATAATCAAGATTAGTTTAATCCAATATTTGATCATGCAGCCAATATTTTTGTTTAATATCAGATTTGGCAAATAATCTTGGGATTTCGATTATAATTCGCTTTCTTGCAACTGGCCGTTAATGTTTTAGATTTATGTTCAAAATACAGTAGCAGGACATATGCATTACAATTATTGTGAATAGAATGCATTTCATAAAATTTTGCGTACTCCTTCCAGTATCGAGAAGCGGATTTATTTGGAAGTAAATCCTTCATCACTTTTTCTGTCGCTTCCTTGATGTGGGTGGGTGCCTCCATCTTCGGTAATTGTTAATTACTATTTGTATACAGGGTGTAGCACCTAAGATCCCTCGGATCATAACTCATTTACTATGAAAGATACTGAAAAAAGTCTTAGAGCAAAACTGTACACAATTACCGCCGGCATGTTTCTAAAATATTTTTGATCACCAGGGGCGTGCTGTATTCCAGTGGTGTATCAAACATCCATTTTTTTTAATGGAACACCCCATTTTTTATTTCTGATTTGGAGAGTACTTGAAAACTACTTATTTTTATTTATGTAACATGTTATTATACATTTAACGATTTCGCTGTTATAACCTTTTTTCGTCAAAATTTGAAAAACTAAACCGCGCAGGCGGCTAATTTTTGGACTGAGGTATAGGTTAAGACCTCTTCCACAATTACATAATTTTTTTAGGTACTTTATCGAACAAAGAAAATTTTTGATTGAGCTTCGTTAAATGTCATATTTTAAAAAAATTTCAAATGGCACCCCCCTAAACAAATTATACCTCTGTGTAGCCAAAACTGCAAATTTTCCACTGATATAAACAAAACCGCACATTCCATAAGAAAATTTCAAAGAAAAACCATGTCGAAACGCCAATTTAGCCCACTCGAGATCATAGCTTACAACGAAGTGCTGGGAGTGTTAGTTACGTACGCGGACGATGTCAAAATAGTGGTGGTGGACACGGGTCTAAGTGAAGCGTTAGTGAAAGTGGGGCATACTGCAACCAATATACAAACTTGGTTTGGGGGGAATGGGTTTAAAGTTGGTGAGACACAAACCCAAGGGTGCATTGATATCTGGACGTAGAAAGCTTACACCGGGCGATGTAGAGGTGGACGGGGCTCGCATCCTTGAAAAAGAAGCATTGAGATACTAGGCGTAAGGTTCATAGAACTTGTAGATAAAGTCTGTCTGCGATAACAGGGTTGCATAATTTCCTAGTAGAGCACTCATAAAAATATCCGTGGAATTTTACCCTTAAAATAAAAGGCAATTGGGCTACCCCTTATATTAAAGTACTTACAGTAGCCCCCACCCTGTATAGCCTAACGGCAAGATTAGAAGTTGTTCGGCGATACTGCATTACGCTAAAAAAATTGCATCTCAAATAGAATATGTTTGTTTTATTCTAGTACTAAATATTTTTCGGGCATTATTAAAATCATTCAATAACTAATTCATTCGTCGTATACGGTTAACCCGACCATAGGTAGAGGGTTGAAAATTTAAATCTGCCGATATGTGACAATTAAAAACACATTACTGACCAATTTTGTTTTTGACTAAGCCTCTTACGTTTCTAAAGCAATATTACATTAAAAACATTTACCGTTTATGTAAATATCATTACTGCTCGCACCCCATATATTATTTATTGAGTTAAGGGTACTAAAATTGTTTGATTGGTAATGTTTGCAAATTAGAGCGATTAGTCGAACCTTTATTTTTAGTTATTTTAGCTTAATTCCGCCTTCATTATTAATTGAAATGTGAATAATGCAACATTTCGACAGTTCCAGCTTTCATCGATTAACAGAGGATATAAACCACCTTGTTTATTTAAATTTTAATGTAGATATTATCAATACGCACATGTCGTGCTTCTATTTATAGAGGGATCGAAATAAAATATAGAAAACAATCAATCGAGTCACAGCATAATAGACTAGAAATGGGAAGACAAATCGCGTTTCTTTTCTGAAGCTTTATTTTTCTCTCGTGCACCACTGTCGTCCTAAAAACGTAGTGAATGGTTCGATTAGTGAAGCCAAAACTTTTTGAAAGGGTTATTATCGAACAAGCGAACGTTTTAACGGCAAGTTTAAATTCCACAATATATTATGTTTAAGGACTAAAATATACAAAGGTAAACAGATATGAACGCTGTAGGGCCCTTAAGTAACGCGTCTACAGGATTTACATATCGTGCCAAATACAATTTCCATAACGTTTAGACCGAAACGGGAAACACCTTTAAAGTGAACAACCTTTTGATATATACGTTGCGGTAACTTCCGAAGGAAATATAAGTAACTCGCACTAAGTTGTTTGTGTAAGAGGTTGATCGAGTTTGAGATATTTTCATCGCAATATAAAACTGTTGCAAATTTCAAAAGTAAGCACAATTTGCCGAAGGAAAACCTACATTGTGAACTTCGTGGCACAAAGCGCGGAGATCGATTGCCTTAGATAACTAAAGGATAGGTGAAATGATGGTGGTCGATAACCCCATAATAAATAAGATTTATCTAGTATCAACGTGTCCACGGAGCCATGGTTCCTCTGGGATTTGGTCACTGAGCTTCCACTTTAGGACACGTGTTCTATATATCGTGATTTAATTCAAGATATGTAGCTTTGTTCTGCACTCTGAAGGATTTTCCAGGTTTTCACGTAGATTAAGTCACTATTTTATCTTACGTCGGAATATCGCATTCACTGTTTCATTTGAATGCGTACAGAAAGGAAACCATTTTCGAATTGTCGCTTTTTAAAAGACCTTCATATTTGGAAAATATGGAGTAAAATGAAAGATGACGTTGATTAATGACGGTAGCAAAGACTCTCTTCACATTGGTTGTTTGTCGGCACTTAGGAATGAATCCAATTTAGCGATTAGTTTTGAGGTTACGTTCATCATTGCGTCCGCTTCATTAGCTACATTTACTTAAAGAAATAGTAATCTATTAAGATTTAGGTTACAAACAGTGGGTGTGACTTAGTCTTGAAACCTAAGTGTCTCGCCCCGATTTCATCAATTTATTGTCTTTAATAGATGAACGTCTAAAGTGCAGTTAATCTGGTAAATGAATTCTCCTAAATGCCGCAAATTCCTGCTGACATTGTTAGAAATTGTTGTCTACATTAGCGAATGAAAATCGCTGTTTACTTGTTTATTAAGCTTAGAAAGTATATAACAGTAATTTTAATCGCTTAAACAAAACAAGGGGAAAATTAAATGTCCCTTTGCCATTTATGGAGCACTTAACAAATCAGACGGAGTAAATTCAGCAAACAATAAGAACGGTAACAATTACAAGCTGACAAAGAACGCATTTTGTTAGCGATTAGAGCTTTTTATAGGCGTCGGAATATAAATTTATTATTCCGCTTCATTCTTAATGCAATGCTACATTGTGAACGAACTTTGAGACTATGCAGCACGAAAACGACCATCTAATATGTTACACACCCTTGTCGCCTGGATGCATAACAAAACGATTTCCCAAGTGGTTACATTATTAGTTTTTTTGTGAAATTTATGATAACGACCGACAGCGCTTCGCGAAAAACTAGGATATTTGCTCTTATACTTTCGGTATGCTCTAACAATCTCCTTATAATTTTTTGAAAATCTAGGAGATAGTATACGACGCGAACCGAGGACCGTATGTATTTATGTAAATTAGAAACATAAATTACGGTTGACAATTAAAAATAATAGATCTACGAGCGAGTCTTTTACTTTTCCATCTTCGGATCGTGGGAAAATTTATCTTATTCATGTTTTTAATGTTCCACCGTTGAAATGAAATATGAAGTAAATATCGCATGTGATTGTTTTATAAATTGAAGCGTCACAGGACAAAGGAAAATAAATAACCAGTAACCTTAAAGCGTACTAAGCTGGAAAAATATAAAAGCTCAGAGAAATTAATTTAACAGTTAGGAAAGCAGGTGCTGTCAATTTATTGAGGGTTATAATATTTGAAGTCATCATGAGACGTCGGTCAAATTATTGGTTGTCATTTTTGTCGGAGATCAGAACAAGGTATTTGTATTGCAGAGTTTAATGGTATGCGGTTACTACACCACCCACAAAACACCTGCCAGCTACCTCAAAACAAATCAAAATTGATACTTCAAATTTTATAATCTCGCCTCGTACACGTCCATATGCAATAATAAAAATTCCAATATTGATTAATGACTTCAATTTGAAGACTCGGTGGCCTCGACAAACTTCCGAACAGAAGAATTTATTACACAACTTTGGATTAACACCTCATAATATAAATAAATATAAATAACATGAACTCTATCTGGGTCGCACTGTGAATTCGAAAAACACACTATGTATTGACAATGACAAAAATTCAATCCGAAACACAATGAAACAAAATTAAAACAAAATCTCTGAAAGAACAAGAGCTTATAACTTGTTTGGACGTATTACCTCGCAGTCAGGCGGTCGACAATTAAACAACTTTTAGTATATTTTCAATTCCTCGCCGAGAAATTTCCTGTCTGGTACATATCTCCCCAGGTAAATTGTGATATAAATTCGATGATGTGATAGTGTGTCGGAAAGTGCAAAAGAAGAGGATGTTGTCTACTATCTACTATTTATGTTAACATGTTACGTTCACTTTGGGTAAAAATAACAAGATTACCGTGAGAAACACACGGTAAGCTCAGGAAAAAACCGCAAAAAGTGAAAAATGATTTGGGATATTCAAAAGTGACTCGGGGGGGTCCATTTTGCATTTCCATACAAGAAAAAAACGACATCTACTGCTCCCACTTGCTCCTATCAGTTTAAGCTCGCACGACTCATTTCTCGTTCATTGAAATTATTGTCGTCTCCATTTCTGTCAGCCAACCAGCCGTTCCCAACAATGTGAAACAAGTTATCGTGCAGTAGTTTCCTATCGTTGAAGCTAATACCCACTAAGCAAAATTAGCGTACTAAGATCTGCAATATTACAAATAATTTCTCGGTAAACCCATACTTTAAATTAAGACATTATTTGGGACGGATTGGACACGACTGATGACCCATTATCGTGATGGTGATGTTTTATGCGAACTCTTTAGATGTGTGCACGATTTTATAACTGTGTTGATTAGCACTTGATGTGGAAAATTGGCCGTGACTTACAAAAACATCGTAAATAGAGTGTAGTATTAGTCGTAAAAGTGTAACTATTTGCAAAGATAAATCATTTATGACACACCTAAATGTATATTGCAATGTTGTTAATTAGTATTTACTTACCTACATCACACATTGAATGTTCTTGTAAGATGAATATTTGGGAATGTATGATTAAGTAATTTGCTTAACAACGTTTCGACTACTACAGAAATTTCCTTAATTGATAATTATGCACGTTCGCGAAATACTCTATTTACCATACCCGCAACTTATTATGGCTAAATTAATATACGAAAATCCGTATAGGAATTATTAACGTATTTCCTCATACATATTAATTATGCCTTTGTAGCTAATTAAACATCTAATCTGCGGATGAAATTCTCTTTTAATAGGTAATTGTTTCGAGTACTTCACAAGATTAACTTTAATACAATAGGTTCGTTACAGAATAATCCGACAAATATCTATTAGTTGCAGCTGATAGGATCGTATCCTAAAGTGCGTACTGTCCGTTAAGTTCAAGTAAAAGCTATTCGCTAACTTTGTAAATCGATCCTTTCAATATTCTAAGGAGATTTTGGTTCTACCCATTACATAAACAACAAATGATTGTACTTTAGTAACTACTTTGGAGATATTATGTAATAGTATATAGTAGAACATTTTATCTTCTCTAATGCAATCTAACTTAGGAGTTCAAAGCGTTAAATTTAATATTTTCTTATCAGATTATCAATTAAAGTTACACATTTTGGAATATGTATTAAATAAAATAACAATTATTAATTGTTATTATTAATCCGTTCTTTATTGGCAGAAGTTAAAGGATTACAATAACGTAGTTAATGCTGAAAGCACGACAAAAGCTAATACTTTAACTTTCAACATACACAACCAAGAAAAAACAAAATAACAATATAAACCTTACCTTAATATCCGACGGAAGTTTACATCGCACAACAGAACACAAAAAAAAACAATGCTTTGATAAAAACGTCGAAACACTGCAAATTTTGTATGAAGGATAATGAATTCTTATTTATAAAAACGGAACGTACAAAAGTAGCACGGCGAAAAAACCCTAAGAAAAACGAAAGTATAAAAATATTAAAAGAATAAGACATCTTACTTTGGCAAAAATTACTGCAGCAAAAGTCCAAAGATTGGTTTAGCAAATCATCTAGCACAAACAAAAGGTATTTCATAAGGATAACATTGTATCACTCAAAAATCCACACCGGAAAGTACTTTAGATGCAATCAAACGTTAAACGCTGGGAGATTTGCAAACCCGCCAACAGCAATCGTGCCCTGGTTATCCTGGAACAGAAAAAATTTAAAATAAGTATAACTTTATTTTACGTATAATTATTAAATGGAGTAGAATTGGTCCTCTTGCATGTGCCCCCGTCCTGGTTGCTGGTACGGCCCACCGCCGCTGTAGATCGTTTAAAGCCCGCCACACGAACATGGTGGGTACTGGAGAACAAGAGAGGGTTGCTGCGGTGGCACTGGCGGACTCGAGGGAACTTCCAGTTCTTTTGGGCGTGATTGGTCCTCGTCATCTTGCGCATTGTTTTCGCTGTAATGGAACCCAAATGAGGTGACGTTAAATTTCATGGAATTCTCTCCATTTTCGTTGTCCGGCCAAGAACTGCCGTGGTTTTTGGAATTTTCAAAAACTAATTCCAGATTGGTCATTTTCATGTTAAAAAACCCCCAGATACCAAATTTCGTCGAAATCAAATTTTTTTTCGTACCCCCAAATAGGGCGCCCTTTCGTGGTAGGAATTTTGAAAAAAATTTTTCAAAATCGGATAGGGCATACCCGAAAACCTATTCAAAGACGTGCTACCCATCTTGGTAACTCATGGTTGCTGAGAAAAAAATTAACGAAGAAATCCAAATTTCACCAATTTTTTGGGGGTGGCTCCCAAACGAAACGCGTTGGACCCTCGGTTTATTTGGAAACAGTGCTTGTCTTGATCCCCTCTATCACCCAATTTTTTTTACATGCGGTCATGTAACACCCTGTATAGATTACATAATAATAGAAAGAGAAAACAGAGATCTAATTAAGGATGTGAAGGTTAAAAGAGGATACGAATTGGGAAGTGATCACTTTTTTATGATAACCAAAACTGAACGGAAAAATGGTATAGAAAAATGTTCAGCGAGGGAGGAGGAAGAGTAGAGAAGCAATTAAGACATATATCCTAAAGACTAAAGGAAAAAGAAGTGGCCAAAGTGAAGAAGAAGTAAAGAGAAGAATATTAAATATCAAGGAAGCAATAGAAAATAAAGGGACAGAAAGGTTGTGGGTCATATTCAAAAACATACTTATTGAAGCAGCCAAAAATACATATGGAATATACAAAGAAAATAGAAACAAGAAACAAAAGGCATGGTGGACGGAAGAAATTAAGCAGCAAGTAAGAGTGAAGAAGACAAAATTGCAACAGCACCTGAATAATAGAGCAGAGCAGAATGTAAATTATGAAGAACAGAAGGAGCAAAGAATAAAAGTGAAAACATTAGTAAGAGAAGCCAAACAAAGATCATGGGGGGACTTCGGAGTCAGAACAGCACATAAAACCAAACATTATTCTTCAAAGTTTAAAAAGTTTCAAAAATAATAAGACAGATATCATAGGAATAAAAGATGAGAAAGGGGATGTTCTAAGAACGGAAAAAAAAGTGATGGAGCGATTGAAGCAATACTTCCAAAAGCTGCTCGTATTTGATGGAGAATGCGCAACAGAAAGGGTACAAGATGAAGGAAAAATAAGTCTAATAGAAGAAGCAAGGAAGCAGGAAAGCGGCGAAATAATAATGGACCAATTATTAGAAATGATAAAGGAATTAAAAAATGGCAAAGCACCAGGGGATGACAATTACTACAGAAATGGTTAAATGTATGGGGGAAATTGGACTAATCCTACCAATCTTTAAGAACGGAGATGCGATGGTCTGCAGTATACCTTATTGAGCAGTAGCAGTAGAATGAGGGCTAGATCAAAAACCAACTATTTAGCGTTCCACCGGGTACACCAAGAAATAGAATTTGGGAAGCTCTGAAAGAGAAAAATGCATGTACCGAAATACCAGAAATAAAGTGATAAGTAAGAATACGGAGTCCAAGGTATTCCATACAAAAGGAGGAAGCCTAAGCCTATTATTATTTATTATGTTCATGGACCAACTAATGAAAAATGTAAAACTAAGAACAAAACCACTATATATAGGATGTATAAATCTATAGAAAACGTAGAAATTGGATGTGAATCATGGTACCAACGGAGAGAGAAAGAGCAAAATGAGAGCAGCTGAGATGAAATACTTAAGGAGAGTGAAGGGACTAACCAGAAGAGACCGGAGGGAGGAAATAAGGAGAGAACTGAAGATAGAATCTGTAAAAGAATTAATCGAACTAAGGCAACTGGGATGGTGGGGGCATTTGCTAAGGATCGACAGCATTCCACAAACCAAAAAGATCTGGAAAGCAAAAACAATAGGCAAGCAGAAAAGAGTAAAACCAAAACAAGCATAGGAACAAGTAATTGAGAAGATATTAAGCAAGAGAGGAAAAACGCGGACGGAGGCGAAAGGGGTGGCAGAAGACTGAGAAAACTGGAAAAGGTTTATAAGGAACCTGAACGTACTGACATAAATGGAAATAGAATCTAAATAAAATATGGAACGTAGACATCCTTACACCCTTATGGGTAAATAAGGAAATGACCTGACCTCATTTATTTAAATGGAACATCCTATATATTTTAACCTGTAGAGATACCATATTAAAATTAAATTTTAGTGCCATATTTTCGAAAAAAGAATTTAAAAAATGAGTTATACTCATGATCGCCCGTTCCTTTCAACTGTAAATTACTGTTGTTCGTAAGCGAATACCATGTATCAGTTGCCTATATCACGAATTCCCACACGTACAAAGTGTAGTTATAACAATAAACTCAATTGAAATAATTTACGTGGTTTCATGTTAAATATAGGTACACACGTAAACCTTGGTTAATTAATTTTGGGGTACTCGTACCTAATTATTCTAATAAGAAATCTTTGTTACAGTCCAGACGGTGTACGCAGTAGAAGCCGTGAAGGGTGGCGTCGCCAAATTGCCTTGTGATATAACACCATCTGTTCCAAATGATAAAATGCAAATTGTAATATGGTACAAAGAAGGAAGTGCACGGAAACCGTCGCCTATTTACACGTAAGTAATATTCTAAACATTCGCCCGATTCGGTACCTCATTTACTTAAGAGAGCAGCTAAGGGGTGTGTTTTAACAGATTTGATTCTCGAGATAAACCACTAGAACAGGGTAAACATTGGGCCGACGAATCAATTTTAGGCGGCCGAGCTTTTTTTAGACACAATGAACATCCGTCCAAATTAACTATTGACATCGTTAAAGATGCAGACGCTGGAGTGTACTTGTGCAGAGTTGATTTTCAGCGGACGCCTACGAGAAATGCGAAAGTCAACCTGACTATTATCAGTAAGTCGAAATAAATGTTGATATAAATCCCGACATTCCTTCTCATGTGTTCTTATTCGCGTGATATAACTGTATTTCATTTCAGTTCCCCCTGAAAAATTAAGAATTTTAGATGAGAGAGGGATGCATATGTCTCATTACGTTCTTGGTCCTTATAATGAAGGCGTTTCTGCCAACATAACATGTGTGGCAACAGGAGGTAAGTGTAGACTGAACGAAGTCGATAGGTCTACCATTTGCTTGGTAAATTTAAGGACGCCCTCCTCCGAAAGTTACTTGGTGGCTAGATAATGCCTTGTTAGACGATTCATGCGAATATCTTTCCGAAAAACGTGTTAGGAATATTTTGCATTTGGAGCGACTTCAAAGGAGACACCTGCACTCAGTTTTTACGTGCCAAGCTTCAAATAACAATCTCATAACGCCTATCACCAGTTCAGTAACGCTTGATATGAATTGTAAGTAACCAAACATTTTTATTTCAAACCCACATAATCTCACGTTCAGTTTCAATTGAAAATCGAACACATTTTAACAAGTTTAACGTGTGCATTTTCATAAGGGATTTTCATTTAGTATTTAATTCTCTAAATCCATCGTCTATGTTAGCGTTGTTAATGTTGTCAATAAGGATGAAATCAATTGTCGTTTATTGATCAATTGGCATAGCAAAACGAGTTAAATGCTTCGTTTATTGTTAAGCAGCTTAATAAATTAACTTGGCTTTTGTGCAATTTAATTTATGGACACATTACCAGACTTGACGGTTTGGATATAATGGGGACATTGCCTACCTGCAACGTTTAAACATTTCAATGTTTTTAAAATTGAAAAATGGAGAAGGGTTCCATTGTCTTTCACATTATAGACAAATTCAATTCCGTATTAAATAATGGCACATACGAAAATTTGTACCTAATGTCAGTCGTGACAGAGGTGATAAGTTTTCGATATGCCAATATTGTGGTTTCTGGACATTTTGAAACATACAGACCCCAAAAAAGTGATTTTTAGCTTGACGTCTGTGTGTGTATGTGGTTCGTTTTTGTGAACACGATAACTAAAAAACCACTGAACCGATTTGGACGAAATTTGGGGTGCATATAGAGTATGGGGAATTGAAAACGTCCTATTTTGGTTTTGATCCGTAACCATCTTCATGGTTGTTGAGGGTGTCAAAAGTTTAAAAGATTCATAACGGCTTGAAACAATTTTTTTTAAATTTTTTCGCATACACTGGCCAAAATGGCTTAAAAAACTGTACAAAAAAGTTTATTACAATTTTTTTGTGAGTTCCTCTGTTTTTGAGAAGTTTTGAATTGAAAATTTGCATTTTTCTCTAAAAGTAAGCATCAAAGTGAAAAATATTAATTACAAAAAAGATGTGTCTTAATGAGATGTACAAAAAAAGCTTCTACACTTTTTGCCTCGGGGTCAAAATAAAGGCGCTAGAGGGCATTTTCTAAATATTATACTATGACCAAAGATCATTGCAATGACTCTATTAAAAGTAGTCGGAAAGTCAAGTCAGGAGTTTACCTGACTAGTAGTTTTTTTGGTAAAACAAAGCAAGGAATTAGACAATAAGTTTGGGCGCTACAAGTATAGGTAAACGGGTTATGTAAAATATTTACTGAAATGTAATTGATATAATTATAGTAGGGGAGCTAACACGAAATCCACTGAACGAGAATGATCAAAATTTTAACCGATGGTGTTCCATTTTGCCCTATCAGAGTATGCTAAAATCGATCGTCTGCCGCCTCAGGTCATGAATGAAGCTGATTTTTTTTACAGATTGATGATAGGTACTACTAATGACATAACGGTGTTTCGTTTTTAAATTTTTTCTCTAATTACAAGATTATCTTATTATCTTAACATTATAAGATATCTTATAATTAGAGAAAAAATTTAAAAAAGAAACACTCTCATAGTCATTGGCTGTACCTATCATTAGTCTGTAAAAAAAAATCAGCTTCATTCTTCCAACGGTAACCTAGTTATATCCGTAGAAAGTTCGTGAAAAACCGACTAAGAATTGTTTTTTTACGGAGTTATCAAATGTGCGCGATTTTTTTAAATATTTTTTTAAGAGCTATTATCAACGTTTTCATTTGGTGTATAACTTATTTTCTCGAAAAACAACCTTTCAGAATTGGTAGCACAAGAAGTACCCGCAGCGCCTTAAGTCGTATGACCTGAGGCGGCAGACGATCGATTTTAGCATACTCTGATAGGGCAAAATGGAACTCCATCGGTTAAAATTTTGATCATTCTCGTTCAGTGGATTTCGTGCTAGCTCCCCTACTATTAGGTATAAGGTGAGATGGATTGTATTAGAAAGCAAGCGTAATAGGTGGAATCAGTATATCTCATCCTTAACCCCTTAATACCTGTCAAAAAATGAAAGTCTCAGCTGGAAAATATCAAACTCACTTACATATATTAATGAAGTTGATGGGCGCTTATGTGAACACCCAACTGAAATAGCAGAATCCCTAGCAACACAGAGAGTGTTAGTAGATCTGAAAATTATAATAATGTGTTCTTACGTACAAAGGTAGATAGAGAAATTGACATACATTTTAGTACCGACTACAAGTTACCTTTCTCTATGGTGAATTGGATAGTCCAGTCAAATTAGCTCCAAAAGTAGTCTGGATTCGGGTGTTGTCACTTTACTCAATGAGACCAAGTGCGCCCTATGTAAAAAACTCCGCTGAATCCGAAAATCATAGTACCCGTGGCCGGAAACTGCTGGAACATATTGTTATAAACAAAAAACGAAGAAAACCTGGTAATAAATACAATGTCGTCTTTTTTCGCATTTGACTTCAATTATTTCGATAGCTATTATTGACCTCATTTTAAATCAATTTGTTTGGAATCGAATTTTTATAAGATATGGTTTGTAGTGAACGTTTATTTTCAAATGTTATTGTGTTTTACCGAAAAATATAAAAAAAGGAATCCAGAAAATTAACAATCTGTTTTTACTAAGTAAAATACATAAGATCTTTTTGAAATTCCGTATTTGGTCACTTTTTTTGATGACAAAACAATACTACATCCGGATCACCATGGGTGTCATAGTCATTGATTAATTAAATAAAGAAATTTAAAAAAAACGATGCTTTGTTTTTCACACTGGGTGACTCTCAGAGCGGTTAGTGAACCCTAAAACATCCTTTTTCAACAATTGTGCCGATGATTCTTGCAAATCGACGAACGGTTTTTTCCAAAATACAACAAGAAATATACATCTGTAATAGGCGAATGGAAAGTTCTTCGAAATAACTACGTCCAAATCTGATTAAAAGTTCACGAGAAATCAGCTTTTGACTTTGGGCTTGTTTTCGAAACAACCGAAAATGATTTTGCAAATCGGGTCGCATCGAACGATTCATTAAAGCATTCATAAAGCATTTATGCTTCTATTTGACCAAAATGTATTATGCCAAGGGCCATATTATAGAGCTACCTTTCTTGCCCGGGTAGCTCAGTCGGTAGAGCATTGGACTTTTTTTGTTATATTTCGAGAGTTATTCCATTTGTTAGTTAACTACGCTCTGGGAGTCACCTAGTTTGAAAGACCAAGCATAGTTTTGTAAATTTTATTCAATTATGCAATTACTATAAAACCTACGGTAATTGGGTTTGTCATATTGTATTGTTATCAAAAGAAGCGACGAAATACGGATTTTCAAAAAGGTCGGAAGAATTTTACTTAGTAATAACAAATTTAAAAATTTTCGGGATTTATTTCCATTAAAAAAATAACATTTGAAAATGAACGTTCCATCCCAAGTAGCACATGTACATCCAATGGATATCAAATGTATATCCTCATCTTGGACAAGGGACGTACATCGAATGTCCAAAGGTCGACTTTTGATAGTTCAATGGATGTACATCGGATGTCCAAATGTTACTACTCTGTACATCCACTGTTCATCCAGCAGCGCCATCCAATGGATGTCCATTTAGGTGCTGTATGTAAATCCAGTGTACATCCATTAATTTACTCTATACACTTCCAGTGGACATCCATTAATAGAATGCAAATTAGTAATAGTTTTATGCAATATGTATATTCAAAACTGAAAAATAATACACAAAAAAGAAACGTGATTTATATTCTTTCAATTGATATTTTTTTTTGATGTGGATCTTTCTTTAGCGCAGCGGAGCCATTTCTTTAGGCATTCTTCGATTTCCTTGACCGTTATCTGTTGAAAATCGGGACTTCTTTTTGCACTCTCTTAAACGGCAATTATTATTAAACAATAAAATATTCCATTCAACTTACCAATGACCATTTGGCATGTTGTGAGTTTTGAAAAACTATCCTTATTTCTCAGACCACAGTAACTGTAGTGTGATGCTAAGGAATCAGTCACAAATCTGGAGATCACCCTTTTTATAAAATCGTATATATTGCGCCCCCCAATGATAGACATTTCCTTCACCTAGACAAGAGATTATAATAATTTATGAATTTATAAGACCATTGCCTTACAGTGGACTGAAATTTTTCGTCAATTTTAAGATATTCCTCCAAATCTGCTAATTCTGGATGGGTATTGGCAGGTAGATGAACCTCTACAAAAATAGAGGATGTTGGTGGATTATTCTCCACTTGTTGACTTTTAATTGTTCGAATTTCTTCAAACAAATCTGACATCATCCCTTTTAGTAAATGTTGTTGGCGTAATATTTCCTTCTGAAGCTTTATACAAGCACAACCTAAAACATTTACACATTTAATAAATAATAGATGTATCTTTTAATACCTTCGAGATCTCTAGTAGATGAGGTTCCCATGCATTCCTTCCTTGTTGAAGTCCTGTCATTTGGAAATCCTAAAATGTATGAATTTTATTGCCTTCATTGCCGCCAACAAAAATTAGAAAAAGTCAAATACCTTTGTCTACTGCCACAGACTTCCTTCCTTTGTTTGTAGGAGTGATCGGTTGATCTTGGTTTAAATTATTCCTTGTGACATTTGAACAACCTTAAAAATACAAAGCTATAAAAAAAAATTAGTGGTGCTATTCCTGTACTTGATAACTTGTTTGGTCCAATGAGTTCATCTGTGGGATCCTCGTTTCGAAAATCTGAACACAACACCATGTGAAGATAAGAAGCAATTAAAATACTTACATACATTCATCTACTGCAGTGGACATTACTTCACTCTCAGAGCTACACGATTCTCTGCTGCTGTTTGGAACCTTTTGTAGTGGACCTACAAAAATTAACAAATAACATATTTTGAATGAAAACAATACGTTGGGTCTGTCCAAAATAAACTTTAAATACTTTTCTATCTAAAACAACTTTATTTCTCCGTTTTAGACACATACCTTACTGCAATTGTTCATAGATCTCCAAAAAAATTCTTGAAGGCAAAATGCATAAATAAGTATATATAATTATATAGATAGTAATAAAATTATAAAAAACTATTTTGAATTCATGAACAAGAAATGATGTTCATATGTGAAAATCTTAGATGCAATACAATTTGGTAATGACATTGATGTAATCATTTGTTGTGTTTAAAATTATTAAATATGCAAGTAACTATATTTACCTTTTTTCAATTTAGGAGCGTTATTCAACGTAGTAGGGGGTGTGTCACAGGAGCCATCCCTTGAATCTTCATCATCGGATGATATTATCTTTTTCTTATGTAGTTTTCTATTTTTCTTTGCGGTAGTGTCCGAATCGGAAGCAAGATCAACGATATAATTTTTTTTTGCCTTAGTGACTTTCATTCTAGCTAAATCATATGAATCTAAAACAAAGCGTAAAGTACATAAGCAACTGTACCTTAACCGTTTACCAAAGCAGTTATTGTTGTAATGGAATACTTTATATATTGGCCAATCTTCAGTAGGAGCAGTGTGATTTTTGAGAGCCAATAGTAAGCCTTCCCTTGTAAAGCTGGTTGGAGGCCAGTAACACATTTTGTTTTCCAAAACCCAACTATTCGGTACCGCCTCTACCGTTTGGTCCTTCAGGAATTTTACCACTCTCCAAGTCGACATGGTGTAACCAGTTTATCTTCTTACACAAAAACATTTAGTAACATTGTTTTTTTTTTACAAAATTGACGTGAATATAAATTTAATGATTTATTTCACTATGAAGTATCGGAATGACCGCAACTTGATTACCGGAAGTATTAACAACAAAATATTTTAAAGAAATTTCATTTATACTCCACATCTGAAGCTCGGAAAGATTTGAACATAAATAAATTTTAAATGTTGAAGAAGGACATGGGGCTTCATAAAGATCCTTTAAATCGTTATATTTTCTTCCAATTATAACCAAATGACTATCATTAGTGGTTGCAATATTTTCCACTGCTATGACTGCACCATCCTTCAATCCACAACAACTGTTCCCAGTTGATAACTTAATACTATAGTTTTCACATACTAGCTGTTGATATTGTGGAGAACGACTTCCAGGAAGTAAAGGACCATCTTGATGTTCTTTACACGCAATTATCGAAGTATGAGATAATGGAGCACCAGGAGCATGTCGTGTTTGTTCAGTTATTCTGTTAATAATTTGCTCTAAAGGTTTGTAACTATTTCTCAATAAACTTTTTATTCCATATAATTGATTCTCAAATGGGAAACTACTAAAATTATCAACGGGTCCGAATTTTTCAACATCACTTGCAAGATGAAGCAGATTATGTATATTATGTGATACATGTTGTTTTCCATATAACGAAATAAAGCTTTCCACAAAGTACTCTAGCAATGATTGTGCATATCCTAAATACATTTCGGAATACTTTTTACTTGAAAGGATTGTTATTGCAACATGTAAAGTAATAAAATTCAAATACATATCTGCATTAAGAATGGATTTAGACAAAACTGGTCCTGTATACAGAAGAAATTGACGATACTCAGTTGCCTTCCATCGTCGTACTTCATCTAGTGATCGAGGTTTTCGAGCAAACTCGATTGGGGTGTTATTAATGTTTCGAACTAGCATGCAAGATAATTTTTTTGTGTCACGAGATGACAGTTTTGATGGAGGTCTGGCAGCCCCACACCACAAAAACAATAGTTTACGCATCACTCCCAAGCAAACCAAATGCATATAATCTAGCGGTATATCTCTTATCATGTCAATATTCGGTATTAATTCCAAAACCGATGTACCAAGATGATGAGGGGAGTCTGATTTTGCTATAAACTCTTCATGGGTTCGCAGTTTTGTGTTATGTTCTGGAGGGAAACATACCCTGTTATTACGATACACACCGTGAATATTACATTTAGAACAAGATTTATATCCCGTATGTCCATTAGTATATGTACAAAATGCTTTTGCCGGAACGTCAAAAATAAATGCTTTAATTTTAAAATTATACACATGGCCATTATATGATACACCATCACTAGTTAAACTCACAGCATCATCAACGAACTCTTTAAGAAATAAATTTGCATTGTCTGGTTTTCCATTTCCATGATAAATACCAATTACCTCGACATGATTACGATTTTGAAAAAGAGTGCATAATATGGGATAAAACTGACTTGTTGTACTTTTACTTATAGGTAACCCATCAATATTAACACAAATTTCGACTGATTCTAAATTACAACTAAATTTATAATTAAACAGAAGTCTCTCTACACAGTACAATAGTCCAAAATGATAATAATGTCCTGGTGCAACTACTTTCGTAGTAATCTGTTTGGGGGTCTTTAATAATGTGCGCCCATCCAATGGCAAATCTGCAATATCGCCACGTTTCATAACATGCAATAAATCAGATAAAGCACTGATAGTAATTTTATGTTTGAGGGCCCATTCTCGTAATTCTGTTTTCCAACTGAATATATTACTGGCAACTTTAGAGGATCTCGCAGGTTCATTAACACTTGGATCGTTGAAAAAAAATCATCATCTGAACTCTCAAGCATGTCGTTTACTACATATGGACTATCATCAGTAGAATCGCTTACATCTAGTGTAGTAGGAATTGACGATGCATATTCAATTTGATGTGAATTTCCACTAGATCCAGCTACTGCTTCTTCGGAGGCCATTTCTACTGAAACCGCAGCCATTTCTCTAGCTTTTCTATACAGTTGTTTCCGAATTTTGGGCATTTTTTGTACCTGTATTTACGTTTCCCATTAAATTAATTTCCTGTTAATCATTACCTTTATTGGTTTTTGAAATTGGCTTCGAAGTAAAAGGAGAACAAACTATGTACCTGCCATGAATCTCTAACGCTCCATTCACACAGTATGGTTCCACCGTACGGAGGGACTTCAGTGCACTACTACAACGCCGTTTGACGAGGACAGCGCCCATACAGGGCAGACGGCACCTGCTTCGCGGCGAGGAGCAGCTGCCGTATCTGTGTGAAAAATCCCATGCTTTTCTTCGTGCCACTATTGATTGCAGTGTGCTCCGTACGGTTTCGTCCCGTGCGGTGAAAACTGTACGGTGTGAAAGGAGCGTAAATCTGAATTCAAATTCACATTCGATAGACAATATAAAACACATACCGTCATCATTCACTTTTTTATGCAAGAATGTAAACATAAAATAAATAGCATATTAGGTTATGTAAACAAAATTTCCATAAATTGCCAAAAATTTGGGACTTAAATCTAGGTAGGTACTTACCGTGTAAAGTATAACGAGCAGAAGTAAAATATAGTCTATTAAATTTATTATAAACACCCACAACGGCATAAATAAAAGTTTAAACACGATGCGTATTATAGGTTTATGTTATACCATAATTTGCGCGCGGGCGCTAACGTCACACTTCCCTCGCAACCTTCAAATCTTCCTAGTAATTGAATTGTAGCATTATCTCTGCTCTATGAAAGAAATTTTATATTATTTTTTTGGTTGAAGTATTTGTAATTTAAATGTATGGTATATCTCGCCGATTTTTTCATTGTAAAAATCAGGACGTCCACTGTATAAACAATGGACATATGCATAATGGTGGTCCGTTTTTAATCCATTTTCGAATGACTCATGTACGTCCAGATTACGTCCATGGACGTAAGGACTTAAAAAGGATAAAAAATGGACGTTCATAGTACACAACGTGTTGCCTGGGATGCCATCTGTAGCTGATAGAAAATTTGACTCTTAGCAAATTCATTTCTATTCATTTTTCCGCTCAGAGCAAGAGAGATAATTGAAGTCCAATGCTAACAGAAACGACATATTGCCATTTTTTTTACGTTTTTTGTTTATAACAACATGTTCCGGGAGTTTCCGGTCAGGGGGGCTATGATTTTTGGATTCAGCGGATTTTTTACATAGAATAGACTTGGTTTCTTGTCACTTGTCACTACAAAACCATTTAGGGATTTCCAAGAAAACAGTTGTCATTACAGTAAAATTGTATCATGTTGGTAATATACTGTTTGAAATTAAATTCGAATTAGTGATGGGATAACTCGAGTGAAAAACTACTCGAGAACTCGATTATTAAAATAACCGACATCACTCGATTATTAGAAACGAGTACTCGAGTTCTGATCTTGTCGAGTGTTTCGCTCATTTTAGGGAATTCGACTTGATAAATAAATTCATTAATTCAATTCAGTTGCATTCAGTAGATGAGTAATTGTGAGAACATTCAATAAGCAAACACGTGTTTTTTCTTCGATCACGTTTACCTTTACAATAATCGTTGATTGACAAATGAATATTCTCGTTGAAATCGCTTTCCCAACAGTTTAAACTAAAATGATTACGGTACAGCAAAAGAACGTCTTCATTTATTATTATATAAAACGAACAACAAATCAAAGTGGGAAAATAAACAAAAAAAAAACAACAGTTATTCATTATTCAAGCTTGATTCTAACATGCATTTAAAAATATTATTTCGTCTAGATGTTTAGGTAACAGTTTGTTCCGCCGTAAATTAGTCAATTGCCCAGCTTTCGAAAAAACTCTTTCCGAAGGCACAGATGTACTACACTGAAAAAATAGGTACCCTTAAAGCAAAGTCACCGGTTCTCTTGATTACAAATTATTACAAGCAAGAGAAATAATCTGTCAAGAATAGATTTTTTTTTGCTACAAATGAAATGTCCTTGATTAAAAAAAAACCCTTTCTCTTGAAATTGACCCTAGGCTCTCTTGAACGTTAATTACTAATAACAAATGCCATGGGTTTTTGTTCAAAACTGCTGAAGTGTTTGTATATTTCAGCAATTTAAACAAAATCTGTGTTTCTTTATTCAAGTAACAAGATCTTGTATGTTGTGAATATTCTGAGAATTCTCTCCCATGCTCGAAACTTGCAACTACCGCACATTGCAATCCGTATTACGTATGTATTCATATTCACATGCAACGTGTTAGCTGCCCTTGCTCTTACTTTATTTTATTACTTTTTATAGCTACTAATGCTACTATAGTATTATTACGCGCATTTTTAAAGCCGAAAGTGATTTTTTTCATTTATTGACACTGACGTGTATGTTATATCAGTGCGGTATGGAAAATGTAAAAATCTTTTTAAGTAAATGGAAATTAATCCATTTATTTAACGTTTTTGAAGGTAAGTTACTCTGCACTTGTCTTTATACTTAGGTCATGTGTAGGTATATGTACTTTGTTGATGATATTTATGTAGATTTGTTACGTATCTTTGATGCATGTCCTGTTATTTGTATTATTTATAACTATTTAAAATGGCCACGTCTTTTCCTTTGGCAACGAAAAAGAGGTACGCTGACCGTATCACATCTCTCAAGCTAAGCTCTTGGTATCTTCAGGCAAAAGATTTAAATTAACCCAAGACGTTCAACTCTCCCTTTAAAATAAAATGCCCCTGTGTCAAGTAATGCCGCTTTTATATAAAATGTATATACTTTTGGATGGAAACTATCGTTTTTCTTTCTTAGATGTTGAGTTTTTCATGCTAATTTTTTCAATAGGACTTGTAGTTACCTAAATGATTCATAATTTGGAAGGAATGTTGGTCATTTAATCAACCGATTTTATTTTTTTAATCGGTGCATTAGCTACAAAGAAATCGAGATTTAAAACCGGTTTAAACTTCCGAATCGAATAATACCTATGTGTATACAGGGTGCCCAATATGTATGGAAAATAGTATATATCTCGGTAAATACCCATTTTATAGAAACATTTTCGATAAAAAAGTTGTTTAATATTTTACTTCCCGTAATGAAACATTATTCAGTTATTTTTATTTCAGAAAACAATTGAGTTTTTTTTAAATAGCAATGTAGGTACTTCTTTATTAGGCTTATTTGAGAGAGATTTCTTTTCTCTTTTCTATGACGTAACATGTTAGCTTCGCTATGCAAGAAAATTTTCCAAAAAATTAAAAAACTTAAGTATAATAAGGTACATTAATAACACTAATAGATATCCTACATAAAAATGAAACAAATTAATGTGTACGTATCTTATTAAACCTTAAAGACCAAACTAAATTAATTTCTTATACTATCAAGAGTGGTAAAATTTTACGTTATTGAAAGGAGAAAAATAATCTATCAAATGAGCCTAATGAAAGGGTATATAGCTATTTAAAAAAATTATAAGTGCAGATATTCGTTATCATTTGTTTACTAAAATTAAAAAAATATTCTTTTAATGGAAAATAAAGTGTTAAACAACTTTTATATACACATTTTTTAGTTAGTCGATAATTACCGAGACATATACTATATTCCATACATAATGGGCACCCTGTATATTGATTTACATATTCAGATTTTATAAAAGATTTACATAAAAACATGGTTAGTTTATATCAGTTTAGAAGCTTGTAGAGAAGGGATGGAATGGCCTTTTGGCTTTTTATTGATGTCCCTAAATAAAGATTATGGTCGTTGTCTCTTGTTAGAGCTCAGGTATAACCTGGTTAACTAATCGCACGGAATAAAATCAAGTAACGATTAGTATCTGTCTGTATGTCCTTCGTCTATAGTCAAATCCGGTCCTATTTTTTTTTAATTTATTATTATTATTATTATTGTGATAAATTTGTTCTTGGATTTTATTAAATTTAGAATTTTTTAGAGCAGAATATTGACGACCCTTTGTTAATAAAACACTTGACTAACGACCAAATCCGATTATTGGCTCCTAATATTGGAGATCAAATTAAGCTGCAACAAGGAATCAAAAGCCTTAGCTCAGATCAGGTCGAGGATCAGGTAATAAAAACTGTGAGAACGTGTAATTGTACCTATTTTTGTTGTCGACAAGTAAACGAAAGGAAACTATTTGTCATGTCATGTGGCATTTTTAATTCTATTCATTTGTGGAAGTTAGCCATACGCTTCCTTTGATTTTAAGCTAAATAGTTCCGTACCGTAACACGCACCGCGCATGCGAAACGTCTATATTTGAATTCTCCACTACAATTTCGCAATGTGAACTCGGTTTAATCATGATTGGCAGTGGTTAGGATAGTACTTGGTTTGCACCCAGGCAGTTCGGGTTCGATTTTTTGTACACAATCAATTTTTTATCTTTTTTTAAAAAATGCGTACCACGAGGCGTACCCAATTCAGCGAGATTGGCTGCTAGGTTTAAGATAATCTTCTCAAATTTTTTGAAAAACAAAGTTTTATACAAAAAAAAACTGCAGGCATGCTCAGTGTATGAGAGGTATGGGGCCATTCAGACAATCGTTTTCTTTTGTGAGGCATTGTCGCCAACATAAATTCCTACATTGAATTTATGATTTTTTATAGAATGATGAACCACCAGAAAAGAAACAAAGAGTGGAATTGCATGACGAAAGTTATGACACAACACTCACAGACAACATTCCTATCATATTTTTGGAAAATAATTTTGAAGCACTTGCTAGGCCGTCTACTTCAAACGCAGTAGAGGCCATTTACGATACAATTAGCCAGACGTCAGACACAGTCACTGTCACAGACACATCGACAGCTTCCTCTTGCACTGTGTATGAGAGAAAATCAGATATTCAAATGTCAGCCCTCAATAACTTTGATCTTGAAAAATTTTTAAAAAACGATATTTTGGGGGAGGCACTGCTTGTCAAAGGAACCAAACTAAATGCTTTCAACAACGGAGACCGGGACCGACTATGTGAACTGCTTATAAAACATCTTCTAAATGAGCACAAAAAACTCAGTATAGAAGATTTCGCAATATTATCAAAAAAAATTACAAATGTTTTTCCAAGAGAACAGGCTGCCACTTATTATGTGGCACCCATTCCAAAAAAAATGTCAGGTAATAAAATACATGAAAAAGCTCGGGGTAAGCTGGTCGACAAGCAAAGGAACTTGCTGTATATGGTAAAAAAACTTAAAAGCCCTAAAACAAACGAGATAGAAGCAGACGAATCCTATCATCAAGGTATATAGTAGAGTAATGTCACAATTCTTGTAAAGTTCAAACGTGATTTTTAGAAGTAATTGATCAGGAGGCAAAAGACAGTGAAATTTGGTTGCGACGAAACACCCAGCCGCAATGCGAAGTGTTACAACACTGGAAGCAATCCTATCTTGCTAGAAGAAATACGCAATTTCAAACTATTGCGCAATTTTTGGAACAGTGGCCAATTTTAAGATCTCCAATTGCCCCTGATCTGGTAAGTTCTTTACCTTGTCCACATTAGATCAACGAATTGCACGTATATTTTTTTAAATTGTATTAGTATGTTGAGGAATAGCGATTGATTTTGTTATGTTCGTGTATCCGTCTGTAAGTCCCGTCATTCTGCTAGATAACTGTAAGGGAATTTTTGAGATTTGTTTTCTGCAACAGACAGTTATGGACTAAATCCCAGACGAGTTCGTTAATCATTCAAATCGTTTGTGAGATTAACGGGAACTCGGTATACTATGGTTACCTACACATGCTTACAGGGGTTTAAATTACATTTCTTCTTTAAAAAAACTGTTGTTACGAGTTAGTTAGTCATACTATGCTTTTAATTTTCAGATTAATTATGACTTCGCGCAAGTGCACAAAGTTCCCGAGAATTTTGACCTACAGACTGAATTTCAAAATTTGTTTGAGGCTGTACTAACGCAGAGAAAATCATCGTTAAGTCCTGCTGATAATACTATTTTGCAGCTGCTAGATACCGATGATATAACTTCTGGTAAGCATGGACGATTGATATAGCTACTTTTTTTTGTAAGAGGTACAATAATTTGATTGAACAACAACTGAATCGATTTGCAAATCAATTTTAAAAAGACGTTTACCGGTTTACGGTATATTTGATTGCGTATTTTTGTTATAGATTCACGAAGAGCGATCCAACTGTATTTGCTGGCATCACTAGTGCCTCCAAAAGGGAGAACCAAAGTAAAGAAGCTTCACTGGAAGCCCTCTATTACTGAAGCAAGGGAAGGTGTTTTCGTGCATGTTTTAACACCAGGCGACATTGAACAGGCAAAAAAACAAAAAATTAATTCAATGTACTCTAAAGGTCTCACTGTGCAGCCTTATTTTATAATCATTGGACCAAGCCTTAATAACATTTCCCAAACTCTTGTTATAATTAATCAAAATACATATCAATGCAATTCCATTCTTGAAGCATTGGACTTCTGTTTTAAATCGTACATTGTTTTGGATGCAAAATATCCATTTCAATCGCAGCACTTATGGTATCTAATCCAGTGGATTGTTTATAAATATAGAGCAGCGACAGATCCAAAAATACTTTTTATCAATGATCTCGTAAATTCGTAAATAATAGTACATATTACGTTTTTGCTCTTAGTTTTGACTGATTTGTATAGCATGTTAAAACGGAACTATATTTGGTATTAATGCGAACCCAAGGCACAATAATGGAATCTTCACAAGGATATATATGCTTTAAATGTAAAGAAAATTTTTTTTCCCATAAAAACCTAATCAAACACATAAAAATATCTCATTTTTTTTTGACTGAGTACCGTTGTGAACAATTATACTGTTTCCGGTCTTACAAAGATCTGAATGGCTTGCGAAAACATTTTCAATCTCAACATGATAATCTTCCAGTGGAAAGTCTTTCAAAGAACACACAAGCTGTCAGTAAGACAACAAATATCTCAAGTGTGACTGATCATTTATCTGATTTAGCTAATTTTCATTCAGGTAGTTCAGAAACTACTTCTACTTCTGTACCAGCAGCTCCCCAAAATTATGATTTAAATAATGAAACAAATATTAGATCTTTTATTACTAACTATATGTGTACTCTTTATAGTAATACCTCAGTAAATAGAAGTGTTGTGCAATTCGTAATTGAAAACACAAAAATATTAATTGACAAAATTCTCACACACATTTTTGAAAATTTCTCAGAAGCCAATGTTACTACAGCAAAAGAAAATCTACGTTATACAATAAAAAATATTCTTTGTCTTTTCGAAACTACAAATTCTGAACATCAGAGACTGAAACTTTTAGAAAAATGTGAATCCTTTATTAAACCCTTTCCATTTACTATAGGAATCACAACTTGTTTGAATAGAATTGATACTTCAGAGGAAGCAACATTATCGGTTCGCGAAGCACGCGGACAAAAAGTGTGTATTCGTACGGTTCTCAAAAAATTCTTAGAATTACCAAATGTTTTAAACAAAATAGATTACTTTGTTCAATCACAGGAAGAAATTTCTTCTGAAATAGTTAGTATATTCCAAGGAGAGCTGTGGAAGTCTTTAAAGTCACGTTTCATAAACAAGAAGGTATTTCCTATTTATATATTTTTTGATGATTTTGAACCAATTAATCCATTAGGCTCTAGAGCTGGCATTTACAAAATAGGAGGTGTGTATCTATCCTTAGCTTGTATCCCTTTTGAATTCGCTTCCTTAATTGAAAATATTTTCTTAGTTCAATTATTTTATTCCAGTGATAGGGCTAGACATGGAAATAAAAAAATATTTGAAAGTCTCATTGACGATTTAATTTTTTTGGAACGTGAAGGAATTTACGTGGATAGACCTGACGGCATACAGGAAAAAATTTATTTCACTCTATTTCTTATATTGGGTGATAATTTAGGCTTAAACAGCATATTGGGATTTAATGAAAGTTTCAATTCCGATCATTTTTGCAGAATATGTTTAGCCACAAAGCAAATGTCGCAGGTAGAAGTCGATCAATCAAAATTTATTTTGCGAAGCAAAGAAACTTATAATTCTCATAGCACTAATTTTTCACATGGGGTAAAAGAATCCTGCATTTGGAATGTATTACCAAATTTTCACGTAACAAACAATATTTGCTGTGATATGATGCACGATGTTCTGGAGGGTATTCTAAGGTACGATATGGCTTTCGTTATCAATTCGCTTATTAGAAAAAAATATTTTAGTCTTGATCATTTAAATGAACGAATAAAATTTTTTAAGTTTTCTAAGGCAGATGCAGGTAATCCTATGCCTCAAATTAAGTCGGACCATTTAAAGAAAAACCATATAGTGATGAGTGCATCTGAAATACTTTCCTTAACAGTATATTTTAGTTTTCTTGTGGGGGATTTAGTGCCCCCAGAAGATGAAATATGGATATTTTATATTATAACGGTACAAATTTTAGAAATGATGTTAAATAGGGTGTTCACCACTCAATCTATAGCATACTTAAGTATTTTAATTGAGGAACATCATACAATGTTTATTGAACTATTTAAACAACACTTGAGACCTAAGTACCACATACTGTTGCATTATCCTTCGGTTATTAGAATGATTGGCCCTCCCCGACACTACTGGTCAATGAGGTTTGAAGGATTTCACAAGCTTTTAAAAAGTACAGCTAACAATACAGCCAGTCGCAAGAATTTGTTGGTTACTTTGAGTATCAAACAACAGTTAAGATTATCTTCTAGATTGGCCAACAAAAAGGGATTAGAGTGTGAAAAGAGATGTGGACCATGTAGTACTGTGAACACAAGTCATACTTTTAAAAACAAATTTAGCAATAAAGCTGTTTCTGTGCCTTGGGTAAACATTAACCATGTTTTGTTTAAGAAGGGTTTCTTTCTCAGTATTAGTGACGATAGTGATGAGACTGATGGTTTAGTTACTTTTGGCAAAATAATAGATATTATTATTGAATCAGAGTCTATATTTTTTTTATTGTCAATTTATGTTACTGTTGGATTTAGCACTCATTTTCAAGCTTATGAGGTATCGAAACTAAGTAAGAACACATTAATAATTCATCCTTTTCAGTCTTTGCAAAATAACAATGTTTATAACAATCGTGTATTGGGCGACGGTCGTAGTTTTATTTCTATGATAAAATAAAAGCATAACTAAATTAATTACCAATTAATATATTAGTTGGCCTAAAATATTTGTGTACATTTTGCGAGAGTCCACTACATTAAGTACAAATTTTCATTTCTGTTTCGTAGTTTGTGCAATTGCTTATTTTAATTACCTTCAGTTTATTTTTTAAAAAGGCTGTTGATTGGAGTTACCTTAGACTGTGTGATTTTTTTTTTATTTGTTTAGGGTGAGATAATACCTAAAACCATGTAAGATAAATTAGGTTGTTTTATTCTTTATGAGAATTATTTTATTGATTTTTGTTGCTATAGTAAGTTAGCTTTTATTATAAACATTATATTATTTACTTATTATTAAAACAAATAAATTTTTTCATTCATAGTGGTCCGCTTCTTATTTATCAATATGGGATGGCAATGCATAGCCTAGGGTAATACAATAGGGAATAATTTTGAAAAACGTCTGTGTAATGTTTAGTTATAAAAAATTTTTGCCGCTACAATTATTACGTACCTATGAGCAGCAGGTGTCCTGAAATAAACATTTTAACTTTGAAACCGCTAGAAAAGAGAAACATTTAAGATTAGAGAGTTCTAAATGAATTCGTAATTGTTTTTGGATCCAATAAAAATTACTTTTCAATCAAGAACAGAAACTTTTTGATAAATAAATACATGACTGAAATCAAAATCTGGGTACTGTTATTTCAAAAATCATATGATTTTAAACGAAAAGCAGGAGCTTTTGGCTGAATCGGTAAATGTTTCTTCAACTAAAACCATTTACTATTGGACAAAGAAAAGCTTATACTGTAGGTAAGTTCTAACACGTTTACAATAAGTGCTGTTGCTTTTTTGGTAAATGAAAAAGTTCTTCTGCCAAAAAACAAGTTTATTGAGTCAAAAACGTTTATCTCGAAGAAAGTTATTTAGCTGCTTGCACCAGGAAATATTTCATATATGGTTTTTGGGATAAGATTGTTAACCATTGAGAGAATGAAAAATTTACTTCGTTGTAGTGAAATGTTTCTTCAAGCAAAAGCATTTACTATTCGGCAAAGAAAGAATTATACTGTATGTAAGTTCTAACACTTTACAATAAGTGTTGTTGCTTTTCTGGTAAATAACAACGTTCTTGAGCCAAAAATCGAGTTTCTTAAATCAAAAACGTGAATCTTCAAGAAAGTTATTCAGTTGTTTGCACCAAGAAATATTTCGTATATAGGTTTTGGGGTAAGATTGTTAACCATTAAAAGAATGAAAAATTCACTTGCTTGCACTAATTTTAGTAAACTTATACAAAGAAGGTTGATGCTTTGTACCAAGAAACATTGCTCTTGGACCTATTCAAAAGCTCCAGTTTTTTTAGTCAAAGCCATAATCATTTCGTTTAAGAGTTTCTTTTTTTCAGTGTAGGAATGCACAAATATTTTTTTGCAAGAATGGACAACTCTGGCATAATGTGACGGTTTTTTGTACCAGAATTGTAGTGGGTCTTCATTTCTGTTCAAAATTGGCAACTGCATATAATTCCGCATCATTATTGTCGCCGTTGATGATGGTGTCGTTAAGGTTTTTGATGCTGCTACCTTTTGGTCCAAAAAGGACCACAAATCATCAGTGGCTGCTGTGGCACCATTATCTTCATTGGTGCTTGTAGATTATGCCAATAATGCCGTCGGTACTGAGTCTCTTGTTGAGGAAATCTTGCACAATTCGTTTGTTATCATTTTTTCTGCATTGTTTGCATTTTCAATGCTTCCAAAACCCAATTTTTTAAACCTAGGGTCTAATATAGTTGCCATGGCTGCAATCTTATTACTTTCAAAATGTCCAAACCGCCGTTGAACTACTTCCAAAAACTTCATTTTCAGTTGGATTCCTACTTCATTCTTAGGGTTCATGTTTCGAAGATTGATTTGAAATCCCCTAAGCAATGGAATGACTGCAGACATTGTTGGATATTTTTCGCCCGAGAAAATATTTGTTAAATCGTACGCAGGCTTCAAAATTTGCAAACAATCTCTTAAGATTTCCCATTCATCTGGTCGAAAAAACTCGGCAGATGTAGGAATATTCGTCATAACGACACTTAACGGGTTCTTGATTTCGAGCAGTCGTTCTATCATAATATAACAAGAATTCCATCTCGTTGGAACATCTTGTTTTACTTTCAATATTGGTAACCCCATTTGATCTTGAGTTGATTTCAATTTATTGCTAGCACTAACACTGTGTTTAAAATGAGCAACGACGCTTCTACATTTTTTTAAAAGGTTGTTTAATGTTGGATCACTTTTTAAGATTTCTGTAACGGATAGATTTAAAGTATGGGCTACGCAGGGATGGTGGTATTTTTTAAAATGTTCATTTACTGCATTTTTGATGTTGGCCCCATTATAAGATACTATTGTAACAATTTTGTCTTTGATATTCCATTCAGAAAATATTATTTTAAGTTCATTTGCAATATTTTCTCCCGTATGTGCACCTAACACTTCCTTCGTATTTAACACTCGCGCCTGCAACTTATCTGCATCTATGAAATGTGCAGTCACGGTAATGTAACTTTTATTGCTATCCGAAGTCCACATATCCGTTGTGATTGCAACGTTTTGTACATTTTCTAATACTTTTTTTTAATCTGTCACAGATTTGTGGTACGCGTTAAGTAGAAGTTCTTGGGTGAGTCTTTTTCTGTTCGGTACTGTATAACGGGGTTGCAAAATGTTGGAATATTCCAAAAATCCTCTATTTTCTACGATTGACAACGGTTGGAAATCTTTAGTTATTAGCTGTACCAGTTTATTGTCAATCGCAGAAATCTCTGTTTGCGTTAATTCATTTCTAGTCCCATATAATTTTAATTGTCTAGCACGTACTACTGTTGATTGTTTCCTTGGGGGTTGTTGAGTTGGCGGAGCGGATGCTGTTTCTGCCGATGATGTTGAAGCCTGTGCCTGTGGTGCCCGAGAAGGTCCTGGTGTAGCCAAATCCTGGTTTGAAGGTATATCTTGATCTTTTGGATCTGCCTCAACCGGAGGATCAACTTCTTCCACGGGAAGAGTCGGATGAATTCGGCGCAAATGTTGCCGTAGGTTCGTGGTGCTTCCGTAATATGTAATAACTTTTTTACATTTATTCCACGTGGCACACTTATTCGTATTATCATTTTTTGAAAAGTAATTCCATACTACAGACCGCTTGCGTGATCCCGGTTTCATGATTTATTAGTTTATTGTTTATTTTAGTTTTTTATTTATAGTAACTCACAAATAACCCACACCCACACTAAGTAATTAAAGATCAAACAGTAATGATTAATTTAACAAAACCAATAAAATATAGGTACCTACTGGAACAATGAAAACTGCAGAACATTCAAAACAAAAACAGACTTCCTGCCACGAGTAAGGAAAAATATCTAATGAAAAAAGAATCTTGCATTGCCTCGTTTTCAATCCTACCTAATCTCAAACTCTATTGCAGTTGCAGTCATTCAGTTGTTATTTTTGCAGTTTGTCACGTTCGGAAATGAGTCATTTAACAGATGTTTAATATTTTATTTTTAGCACTGCAACTTTCGCTGTAGGTAAGAAGAATTTGTTTGAGGAATACCTACCCAAATATTTAAGCAGAAACTGAAAACAGTAAACATTTAAAAAATAATACAATTGGCCAGGGTATATGAACTATGATCGGTTTTATTTATTTATGACATTATAATTGATAATCAGCAGAATTGGTGTAAATGGAAAAGCGTGCTCGAATTATAATGTAAAGTTGAATATTCGAATTACGAGTACTCCAGGTACGCGATTCTCGGCGTCCAGAATTAAATTCCTTTACGAATTATGACGTAGGTCGCTACTCGGCTACTCGCTAGCCACTGTTTATTCATTTATTGTTTCATTCATTCAAGTTTTAGTTTACGAGTACTCAGTACTCGAGTGATCACTCGATTATTGAAATCACTCAGTTACTGAGTACTCGATTATTGAAATCATTCGGTTATGCACATCACTAATTCGAATTATTTAAGCTTTAATTTGATTTAAATATCCTGCTTAAATTAATTTACATCATAAGAACTTACATAATAAGCACTATTTAACATCTTTTACATCACAATGAGTGAAGATAAATTATCTTGCACTCCGCCAGAATTGCGAGAAATTGCCATCGATGCAGTAAACAAATTAGTACCCGTTAAGTCCCAAAAGCACTACGAACGGACATATAAAATATTTCAAACTTGGAAACTTGAACACAATGTAACTGCTATTTCAGAAAATGTGTTCATCGCATATTTTAATGAAATGCCCAAAACTAAAGAAAGTTCGACAATTTGGGCGAACTATTCCATATTGCGCACAATGCTCAACATTAAGGAAAACTTTGATATCTATAAACTAACAAGAGTAATTGCACTAAAGCACTATTAAAAACGTTCTCTCACGGCTATCAACCGAAAAAGTCTAAAATCTTAGATTTTGACCAAATTTCGCAATTTATAAATGAGGCGCCGGATAACATTTATCTGGCAATGAAAGTAAGTTTATTATTGTGGTATCCCATTTTAGTTTTACAATACTAAATATTCTTTAGGTCGTATTAATTATGAGGTATTGTGGTGCCTGCAGAAGGGAAGAATTAACCAACATGTCGGTTAACGATGTGGAGTGTAAAGCTGATTCTGTAATCTCCGTCCCTAAAACAAAAAATAACGTATCACGATTATTTGCAGTCACCGACATGAAGTGGATTAATATTATTAAAACTTCACCAATCTGAGGCCATCACACACAAGTTCTAATCGTTTCTTCCTAAATTATCGCAACAGAAGTTGTACAGTACAACCTATTGGAATAAATAAAATCGGAAAGATGCTCTTGCAAGAAATTGAAAATCTATAGTGTTTGTTTACAAACGCTTTCATGGATACAAGAGGCTGGAGGATTAAGTCGATGCACATCCACATCATAAGATGAATTTAATATCCGGAGTGCACAGGACAGCATTTAAAAGGTGTAGGCATCTACATTTCAACTTAACTTTTCAAAGAAAAATGATATCAATGTGCACTTTTAAATCTAGGGACTTCATTATACTCTACTCGCGTCGTGATGCATATATAAGAATACGAAAATTTGATTCAAACTGTACGCGAGTTATAGCTATTTCCGCAACGTGCACGGAATGTCAGTCATGCTTTCGTAAAATTTGTTCCGGTTGATAAATGGAACGTATACTTTAATGGAAAAACCAAATAAACATAAGGGTGGATGCATTCTTGAAACGGTCAGAAATCTCACGGAGACAAAGATCTCTTGAAAAATAAAAAGCAAGTGGACGTATTAGAAAAAACGTGAAAGGAGCGTCATATCTTGCATTAAATCGCTCGAATGTGGGAATAGCAGTACTGAAGGACTTGCGTAGAAGGTTTGAAGATAGTTTGCTTCAAATGCGTTTCTAAAAACTCCGCCACATAAACGGTCATTGTAAAAGTAAAAGGGCTTGAGTTTCTCTTTAGCAATTAGGGGATGAAATCTTCGAAGCTTCTTCG